AATTTGTATTGATTTGGTTAGGATTATTTCCGGGATGCTACTGGACTACTGGATAATTTCAATCTAATTGAGACTAAATAGCTCCTTACTGCGCTTAACACCACTACTAAATTCAAACAAAATCGACTGAAGGTTATCAAGATATTTTGGAAAAAATGATTTTTTTAAAAAAGTTTGACACCCTGTATCTTGAAAATGAAACATTTCTGAACCTACGCTTATATAAACGTTTCATCTTGAAATTACTTAAAGAATCGCCTCGTGAAGTCTGGCCACGTACTTAAATAGCACCCTGTATATGGTATCACGTTTTACCTACTATTTGCCTGTTTTTTTCAGAAACTGGTTATCATATATCACTAATAACTAGAAGCAATTCTTTGTTTTAAATTCAGAAAGCATTTTATTTCTAATAATACCTATACCAGGAGTATAATGCCTTCACTCAACGCATTTGCATAATATATAAATTCAAATTCAACAGCACTTCAAGCAAACTAGGTTATTTTCAAATTCTACAAAGTCTGTACCAACAGGAGGCTCCTCTTCCGATATATTTTCATTATAGAATATAAAAAAACCACATCAAGCCTAAGTTAAGCACCTGTATGGTATAAATGCCCTTCATTGACCTAAATATCGCTGCATAAATAAAATTTCAGTTCTCATTCCGTCACGTCAGCAGTGACTCCCCTATACCTTCACAGTGTTTCATTTGGAGCGAGAAATATTCTCCCGGTTATGGGTCACCAAGATCCTTATGCTCGAGTATTTTACTTGAACACCAGAATTGATCCAATTCCCAGCTAATACACCAACAACGGCAACATTCGAAGATGAAAATCACAAATGAAACTCAGGGGTTCGAAGCGCGCCACCGACACTGCGTCTGTCACAAACTCGCGATCATCCACGAATGAGGGGCCAAGCCTGCGATTTAAATAAACTGTTTAACTGTCTTTATAAAAAGTTTTAATTGTTTTAAGTCTTCGATTTCTAAATAAACAAAATTACCTGTAAGGAATCTATAATCAAATCCAAGCGAATAACCAAAATTTTTGCGTTATGTACCGCGGTTATCATATGGTTTAAGATGGCACACGGGTTAATGACGTCAGTTACTCGAATTGCTTGAACGCGTTGGTTTTAACCGCGTTCTTGTTGCAAGTTGTTTATTTTAGAAAAGCGCGAATATAATTTCTGATTATTTTTATTATCACTTAATAACCGGTGCTTTTTCGTCTACAACAGTGTATGGAAAGTTTAAAAAAGAAACCTTTCATAATATTAAAAAGAGAAATTTATTAAAATTTGTACAAAATATAGGGAATTCTGAACTCTGTAAGACAATTTTATGCAGCAGGGACAAAAAATAAACGAGAGATAGAGAATAAACTAAGAAACAAATATATTACTTTTACAATACCTTCCGATTGTACCTATAAAATATGATTCAAAATATATTAAAATGTACGAACACCAAATTGTGTCAACAAACCGGTCGGAAATCATAACTCATAGCATTCGACGAATTAGTAAACGAAACGCTGTGGAGATTCCTCATCGGTGATTCCCCGTCGGTGATTTCCCGTCGGTGAATACCAGAACGGTATTTTACATACGGGGAAATACCTAAACTGTATCCATCGAAGAAACAAAGTAAAATCAAACATGTACACCCGTATTGCACGTGATCAAGAACTTAACCGTAGGAGACGCTACAGGGCCGTATCAAGCTATTGTGACTGATCTATCAAAAAATGTCGTACAAGATATGTGTTGCTGTAAATTCTATCAAAAGCATAGTAAATTATCAGGAATATACCACGCATTTCTAATCATATTTCGACATTAGGAATCAGTGCAAAAAATTCTGTATTCACCATTTCAGCAAAATGTTACTAAAACGCACACGAAAAAAAACTTGTGGACCATCTCAATTGAAATTGTTCATATTTTATTATTAACTTACATATATACCCAATAATATTTACAAATCAACCTTCTATTCACAATGCAGAGCAAATTTTTTTGAGCAAATTGAAACTACAGACGTAGTAGTAGTAGTACAAAAGTTTATTACAGACTCCATAAAGTTTGTTAGTTTGATTGCTATTAAAATTTAGATGAGAAATAGGAAGAAGGTCAAAATGGCACTATTATGCTTTGGAACTCCTAAATTAACCCTAATTTTGTGTAATTATAAATTTGGAATTTCCACATTAATAACTAGAAACCTACACTTTGATTGCAGTCTATAATGAACTTACCTGTCTTGCCAAAAAGCCCGTTAAACTGCCAGTCTTAATGGTATCAATCGATTTATATGCTGTATTCCGAGGAGCTTGAATCATCAGAATTGTTGATGTCAATTATAAGGGGTTCAACTTGGGTGTCAATGATATTGTCCATATCCCACATTTTGGTTTCAACCTTCTCTTGGACATGGTCAATACATGTTCTCCATTTTGCTGGCGTAATTCTATCGACAGCAACATCAAACAGTTTTTTAAGGTCAGAAAACTTAAAAGTGCTGTTATTTGACGCCACGTATTGCTTGATGTCGGCCCAAATCAACTCGGATTCAGTTCGCAGTGATAGGGAGGCAGCCTGAGAATCGTTTTATTTTGGTTTTTGGCCATTTCGTCAACAATTTTTAAATCATATTTATACTTATGTCGCTTGACTATATTTATCAGCTCAGCTTTGACCATTGTTTGGTCGAAGTCGATCTTCTTTGAGACAAGCCACTGTTGAATGTCTGCCTTTTTGGTGGCCATTGTTGGAATTTTTTCCAATTTTCTGGAGTGGTACGGGGCACTATCCATCACAATAATTGCGTTATCATCAAGTGTCGGCAAAATTTTTTTGAACCAATTTTCAAATGAGTTACCATCCATTTCTTCGTGATAGTCTCCAGTTTTTTTGGATTCAAATGCCCACAATGCTTCAGGAACAAATCCATCTACGCTACCTATGTGGCAAATAATCAGGCGTTTTCCCTTGCCTGAAAGTAATTAGTTATTTTACTTCTCAGCGAGCGCACTAAATGACGAAATTAAGCAACTTAACTCTTTTTAGGTTAGTGTAGGATAGGGTCTTAGATTAGTTTTTGGGTGAAGGAGATACTCAGAAACTTGGATGAGATAGCAAAACTGAGTTCGGAGCTTCCAAATCATTGATTCGATCAGAAAATGTATTATCTGCATCCAAAAAAGTTCATATACTTCGAAACTTACCTGCAGGATTTTTCAATCCCGTCGAAAGGCCATCTAAAAAAGCCTGCCTTGAGGACCTCACAAATCTGTCTACCCAAACCTTTCCCTGCGTATGCCCCTCGTTCACCCATGTTTCGTCTAAATAATAAATTTTTCTTCCTTCAGCGCGGAATTGCCTAATTTTTCTAAGGTATTCTCTCCTCCAGATAACAATTTCCTCCTTTTCTATCAATAAACTATTCCTTCCTCTTTTCAAAAATCGAAAGTCTAGTTCTTTCAACAGCTTATGGAACGTAGATCTTTTAAAATTTGGCAGGTCCTCATCATCATTCACTTGCTTCAATATTTTATCTATTGTAGGTATTTCATTCCTGAAGAAAAAGTGATGTACTTTTACTTTTCTTTTAATGGCACTTTTGTCAAAGTCATCTATTTTTTCGATGATTTTTTTTCTCGCTGGATATGTTTTTGGCTCAGACAGTGAGTGATTTTGTCTATATTCCTTCAAGATTTTGTAAACACTTGATCGACCTACTCCAGAAATTTCAGCAACCTTACATACGATATTTTCTATAGCCAATACACTATTCTCTTGCATCTGGTTCTTGTAGGTATTTAGAATAATTTGTTTTTCACCTGCGCTAAGATGAAGCTCTTTAGCCCTTTTTCTGGGTGAGGTTAAGCTGATTTCAACCACTTCATCAGCTGTATCTGTGTCAGACATTTTAGACTGATATTAAATTTCCGCAAGAAAAATCGAGTCAAGACGTGCATAAAATGTTCGCGCTCATAAACGGGTATCCGTAACTGATTACAATCCTGTGCGTGGTGACGAACCATCAACGTGACGCTGAGAGTTCCCTCTACTATGCAGCGTTGCCAGGCTTAATGTCACAATGATCATGTTTTATTGGGAAAATTGTCAGAAATCGCCGAATGTTGAACAGAAACATTACAAGAAGTCTAACCCTGAAATGTGAGGCTACAAATCGATATTCTTATAGGGGGGAAGGGTAGGGAGCTGTTATGGTTCCTATTAACCTTGGTGAAAGTTGGAAACGGTAATATCATATATGGCATACATTCGGTTGAAGGTGTGTGCACGGAAAATAGATTGCGGATAGGATTTTAATAGATAAATCTGCACAAAAAAACACAAAAGGAGATTTTTGTATTTCCCTGAAGAATATCTCAAGGTTATTTCAGATGTACTCATCGAAACTTTATGGAAGAATTATCGAAACCTTATTTTCAATTGCGATAGGGCCACATACCTCGACATCGCATTAATGTGAAAAATAAGACAATAGAAAAAAAATCCCTCACTGATGCTATCTCTTAGGAAAAATTTAACTATAAAGATTGCACAAAAATTTTCTTCACCTTTTTGAGCTTGTTTTCGCATCTCCGTATATGCCGTTCATAATTTGCTGCAGATCAAATTGGAATATATCTTTGTGATGCCATTTATTGTTATATAATGTCCTTTACAACAGTTATTGCACGTATTGCACCAACAGATTGATTTGTGATCCATGCGAATGTGATCAACCACTCTGGCGAAAACTCGCCGAGCGTGGCAACCGTGCGACTTTGTCTGGAGGCTCGTCGCTACAAGCCAATCAGGAAGAGGCCGACAGAGCGCCATGGCTACCGATCACGCGTTGATCACGAATCAACCACTGTTTACGATTACTTTGTAGCTTCGTTAGATACACTTTAGACTCTAATATAATACATAAACCGCCAGGTGGTTACTGTTGCATTTCCTGCTGTTTATGTAATTGTACAGTTTATGTCCTGTGCTCACTGTGTCTTAGAATCACTATTGTTTTTAGTTTGTGCTCTAAAATTATTAACGAATAATCATTCAAGTTTTTCGACATTGAACTTATTTGCCATAGGTAAGTACATATTTATTTATTATAAAATATTTACTTTTCCAATTATTATACTTGAATGAAAAAATATTTCTATAAATTAATCAAATATTGATATCTTATCATATTATAATATGTATATCTATGATCTATGTATTTTAAACCAAACTTACAAATTTGTTTGCTATTGTTTCTTTATAATTACAGATGTAACATCATGTCCTCAATTACACCTTAGCCATCAACTTTTAAACATGCTGATGAATTGGAATCCTCATCGTTTTCTTCTGAAGAATCTGGACACATAAGAAAAAAGGAAAAAATCATAAAATCCTTATACTCAGAAATATACCGCTGCACAGGAACAAGAACCTGAATTTAAAGGTTGGCTGAGGAGCAGCAAGAAAGGGTCCAATTATGCATTCTGCAAGTGTGTATATCTTAAATTTTCTTCAAAATCCATCTACCATATTGTATTTACATTTTTTAAACTTTGTGCTGCCGTTTTTTAAGGAATTAAATTTAGAGATGCAATCGGAAAATATTAAAATACATATTTTATATAAACGAGTTGAACATGTGTTAAGAACAATTTTGGATTGTTACATAAAAAAGGATTAATTAGATAAAACTTTGATTGGAAAAGTAGAATATAAAGATCCTCATAATTTAGTGGAAATAGAAAACATTTATTTAGGTGTCTACGCAACAGGTGCTATAAGCAATAATGGTGAACATAAACTAAATGATGCAGAATTATTTGACTTCAGAAAGAGATATTTAGATTTTTTAATATAAAGTTGTTTTCAAATTTATAAAAGATTTGATAATAAAAGCAAAACTGTCGCTACCCTAAAACATAATGTCACTTGTATCACTAGATGAAGTAATAGCAAACAAACAAGAATCATTAGGGCCTTCAGTTTTCCATTTTCCCAACTTGACAACTGATAACGTAAATGAAAAAGGCAAAGAATGGCGCTACCTAAGAAATCCTGATTTAAGTGAATATACAAATTTAAGCGTTCAAGAACTTTGGGAAAAAATTTCAACATTAAAATCTGGTGATGATTCTCTTATGTTTCCAACCTTAACTAATTTTGTGTTTAATCTTTCAGTTCGCCACATTCAAGTGCAAATGTCGATAGGATATTTTCCCAAATAAATCTAAACACAACTAAAATAAGAAATACATTATCGACTGAAAATTTAAGTGGAATTTTACATACCAAAGTTGACAGTAGCTACAACTTTAGCATCCCTAATGATTTGTTTAGAAGAATGGATTCGTCAATGTACAATAAAACTCAACATTAAATTATAATACCTACTTTTGATTATTGTGCTTTATTGTTTTCTTAAAAACAAAATATTTTATGTTATTCTATGTACGTTCGTTCGCTATTTATACAGAATATTTTTTTTATATTTTTTATAATATGCATACTTAAGTTATCATGTATTTTAGTTTATTTTATATATTTTAAGAAATACCTGTTACGTTAAACTAATTATACGTAAAAAATTTGTTTGCATTTGTTTATCAATACTCCTACCCCAAATTACAAGCAATATTAAGATGAATGACTTTGAAGTTGAGTCATTAATTTTCAGATAATGATTGTAGAAGGAAGATAAACCAAAATAGGTGTGTAAAAATAAAAAAAAAATTAAAAAAAAATGTTACCTTGTTTCATAAAGTATCCTCCCGACAAGTATTTCAGTGCGGTATTTGATCGTGCGGTCTTGGAGCACCGGCATGCCCTCCCCTGTGAGGTCTTAAGTCACTCTGATTCACGAGCCCTTTGTACTACATTAACAAAGGCACGAGGGGTTGGTTGCACTCGATTGGGACACCGATCCGCATAAATCCGTGATGCCGCGGCAGCATTTTATAAAGACTCCCCCCGTAAATAAGAATCATGTCCACAAGTTCAGCATTTTCGTAAACATGTGCCATTTTTTATTTCGTTTGAGCCACGCAACAAACACCACTATTCACTCACGCGTTACCGACTGACACATTGACTGATTACAACTGAATAAAATTGTAGTAAAAACATCGTGATAAGCGTTTCAAATTCTTTCGCTTTTTTGTTTCCGATGCGATGAACCGATAAGGCGGATTATATCCGTTGTTGCCATACACGAGCACATAATATTATTATTGAGACAGGGCGGTACTCAAACCTCTAAAGGGCTATAACTTTGTTACTTTAATTTTACCAGAAAAATGTTAAAGGAATAAAACATTTCTTTTGATCAGATCTACTCACTGTCGAAATAAATGACTCAACTTCGAAGGAGTTCTAAACTAAGCATGTTTTTTTAAGTTGTTAGGAAAATCTAGTGAAATTTTGGCAAAATATCTAGGGAGGAAAAAAATAATAGTCTGGCAACACTGTGGTTATGATTATGAAGAGAAATCATTAAAACTCCAAGTGATCCGAGCGCCTCTCAGGGTTACCAGATTGGGGGATTTTCCCCCAAATTTGGGGTATTTTTCATTGCTTGGGGGAATTTTTGGGGGTATACAATGCGTGGGGGATTTTTTGGGGGAAATTATTCCGTTTTGGGGTTTTTTTGGGGTGCGATTTTAAGAAGACATTCTGTCGTCCGACCAATTTTCAAGTTTCAATTGAATTATTGGAATTCGAGAACAACTTTGAATAAATATAAATTCATTTACAGATAATCCTGCCATCTTTCAACAACTATTAAAATTATTCTGAAGCACCTACATTACAGTTTCCTTCAATAGCGGCAAAATATTATTTTGTTTTTGTGCGTTAGATGGCGCGATTAAATAAGTGTTTCTCATCTATGTGAAACCCAGAGAATCGTGTAACTTTATTTCCTTTCCTATCATTAACTTTATAGGCTATATTTCTTTTACTTTGGAGTGTTCAATACGCATGGTTTATCCAAATTAGTGTTGTACGTGTCAATCTAAATATGTCTAAAGAAAAGGAGTCGTTATATACCCGAAAATACCGAGTTGCTTGGGAATCCGATGCTGAACTTAAAGGTAATCTATTGAAATTTTGATGGTGTGGGTTATTAATTATAATTATTCATTCCATATAGGATGGATTGGTCCTGTATTAGCAGATGAGACAAAGTCGCTTTGTAAGATATGTAAATGTACTTTAGCTGCACATAAAAAAGACTTACTGCTTCACGGTAAAAGTAAGAAACATCAAGAGGCGGAGAAAAGATCTTTGGCTGGCCCGAGTAAAAAAATTACTGAGTTTATGAAAAAAGGTTTGACCGCCAGCAGGAAAATAGCAGAATTAAAAATTGCTGCATTCATATGTGAGCACTGCTCACTTGCAACAATTGATCATCTTGGATCACTTTTAAAAAATTTAGATAAATCATCTGAAATATTAAATGTCGTTAAATTACACAGAACTGAATGTACATCTTTAATATTGAATGTGTTGGCTCCTTCAATACTAAATGACTTACTTTTGGATGTTGCAGATAGTAAATATTCATTGATTATAGATGAGAGCACTGCAGTCGATTCCACAAAAATGCTATGCGTTATGATAAAATATTTTAGTAAAAAGCAAACTAAGATTGTTACGACTTTCTACAAACTTATCGAAATTGAAAAGGGAGATGCCATAACTATCTCGGCTGCGGTGACAAAACAACTGGAGCTAGACGGTTTAAAATTAGGGAATCTAATAGGAATCGGTGTTGATGGAGCCAATGTTATGGTTGGTGCGCATAATTCAGTAGCTTCTTTTTTGAAAGCAAAGAATAATGAACTTGTTATTATTAAGTGCGTCTGTCATTCTCTGCATTTGGCAGCAGAGTATGCATTTAAACTTCTACCTCGTCATTTGGACTTTATAATCAAGGAATGCGACAATTGGTTCTCTTGTAGTACAAAAAGGCAAATAGCATACAAACAAATATTTGAAACACTGACGGATCAAAAACCACTAAAAATTGACCAACTATCAGGAACCAGATGGCTAGCCAGATACAATGCGATAGATAAAATTCTAGAACAATGGGATGCATTAAAAATACACTTTGGTATAGTAAAAGATAATGAAAGGTGTTATATGGCTGAACAGCTGTTTCAAATGTTATCGGACCAAACTAATGTATTATATTTCACCTTTTTGAGTTGGACATTGAAAGAAACAATTAGTTAATAAACTGTTTCAGTCAGAGTGTGCAGATCCACTGAAATTAATGGAAGATTTGAATTTATTACTTTTCAATAACCTAAGTATTTTAGTACCACCTATGAGACTTCAAAAAATTTCAAAAAATAACGTCGTTGATTTCAAATTTGAAGATTACATTATGGATATAGAATTGATAAATTTAGGATATTCGTTCAATTCAAAAGCGTCATCCTTAGCAATTAAACAAGATGAACTACTAATGGTGCGAACTAGATGTAAAGATTTTTTAGTGGAATTATGTCGACAAATTCAAATGAGAATCCCTGAAAGTATGAATATTTTGGAGAAAATAAATTCATTTAACCCCGAATTAGCTACATCCAAGATACGTCAACCTGAAATAACTAATATTGCTTTATCTTTCTCAACAATATGTCCTGACCTTGATAGTACAATTGCAGAATGGAAATCACTTCCTCGAATAAATTGGATAAACCTGCATGATACAGAAAAGTTTTGGGTTGAGGTGGCAAATAACGTCGATGCAGCAGGGGAACCTAGATATAAAAATATTTCATCATTAGTTCTTGCGTTACTTAGCCTTCCATTTTCTAATGCTTGAGTTGAGAGAGCTTTTTCCATTATAAATGTGGTAAAAAACAAACTTAGAAATCGCTTGGCGATTCATAGTACAGATGCTATCATGAGAGTTCGATGGTATCTGTGCTATTTAAAACATGGTTGTACAGATTTTCAACCAACTGAAAATATGTTGCAATATTTCAATTCTGAAAGAATGTATGATTGCAAAAAAGGAGGAGGAAGAAGTTTTAAATGCATTCTCGGAGCTGTAGCATACTACTCGTATATTATGATAGTAAAAAAATATATATTTATGTTACTTGTTATTAGTTATTAGTGTTATTACCATAAATACCATACTCATAAGACAATCTTAGCCAACCTGCAAAGTATAATAATAATAATAAATATCTTTGAAAGTTTTGGGAGATTTTTTTTAAAGATGTGCTTTTTGGGGGAACATACCTAAACTCATTAAAGAGTTAAATAAAACAGAAAACAGGTACATGGTTTGCTATTTGCAAGCAATACATTTGAACGGGAACTGAGAGACAAGACACTGGTATAGCCATGGGAGACATCACTCGGGCAATTGAATCACTTATCGAAAGAATGTATTACCAGGGGTTTAATCCATTGAAACTGAGGACCGTAATGCAAAATAGAGAGCCTAACATTGGGAGTTTCACTTCTGACATTGCAAGGTTAATAGTGATTTACCTAGTGAGAGGCACAAATATCAAAAAGACGCTTGCATTGCTTGCTACGACTAACTCAAGAGGTGCTTCAGAAATTGCAAAATTAAAGGAGAAGTATCGTATTTTAGAACCTGGGTCAAACCTTAGCACTGAGTCAGTAACAATGCAACGAATAGCAGCATGTTTCCCTGAAGAAGTTATGAAGGCTATTCTAGCATTAGACTCAACAGGAAGATTTTCCCCAATTACTACAGATCTTCCAGAAAGTTTCCCCAGTGTATTGATGACTCCTGTAGCTGCATCTGCTATACCTAGGAAAGAAGGTTCTTCAACTAAAAAGCTATTAGAAGCACATCTAATTTTCCTCTTAGAGATGGACAATGTCATGAATCCCAAAAACAGAACCAAGAAGGATAAGATAAAGCAGTATCAGATGGCAGCTCATAACAGCCCACTTCTAACAGAGACTCAACGCAGGAATTTCTGTGACTTGTTTGGATTGGCTTCGGAGACTGATCAAGGGTTTCTAATAAATCCTAATGTCTCTAAGTGCATAAAGGAGTACAATGAAAGATCTAATAGTTATTCGGACTAGATTGCTAATAAGATTAATGTTTTAGGGTAATGTTATAATCTATCATTATTATTTAATCATTTTGTTCTCTGCTTTCAGTTAGAATTAAGGATTTTAGTTTTAAACCATTCTTAATTAGCTTTTAAGTTGACTGATTAATTAACTGATCATTATTTCTTAAGATTTTAGTTTAACTTTACTGTTATGCATAAATATATTTTATTTTAAGCTACAGTGAATAATTTGACTACCAATTTTATCTGTTTGGTGTTGGGCATTACGAAAGGTTATAGAGGCACATGACAACTCAGAACAGATGAAAATTCTCTTTATAATTGAATTTCATCTGCTCTTTTTGGTTACTTAAAGTAACTAAAAAGTATTACTACGACTCGTGAACATTTTCCAGAACAATTGACCAGAGTTTTTGAAAATATTCGAAAAAGTGGTATTTCCAAGTTTAATGATCCAAAGAAAAAATGCCCAGCAAGTTAGTTTCTATTTGATCTAGGTGATAATTCTTTTCATTGACTCTAAAGTCCATCATAACATCCTTCTATGCATTCTTTCTACAATTCAATCGAATCCGTTTTTGACTAGTCAACCTGATCTACTGGATGAACCCAACATGTTACTGACATTATTGTATTGTTTCAGTACCTACCACACCAAAGATAGTAGAATTGAAAGAAATTTCGAGGAGGCAGGCGGATAAACGAAAATTATTATGTAAGGTAAAAGGTTTCCCAGTACCGAAGATTGTGTGGAGGCGGAAAGGGCAAGCACTAAGTCAAAACCGATATCTACGCATCCAGTACAGAAGGTAATTTTTAGGTATATAACCAATTATATCTTTAATTATTTACTAAGTTAGTTGTTGACTACACTGAATATGTTTGCTTTCTGTCTCTGTTAGCATGATCAACCGCATTCAGTGGTTTATCAAACACGTCAAAATTATCCTAGGTTCTCTCAGGATTCATGATGAAGGAAGATTTCCGTCTCGGGGGGCCTCTTTGGTTTCCCACTCTTTCCTATAAGCTTCCTGTCTATGTTTAGCTTTCTTCAAAGATTCCGCTCCTTTTCTTGTTTTCTGTATTCGAGAGTATCGTATCTTCCAGAGCAACTTGATTCGGAATCGGACATATTACCGTTATTGAATTGAAACCTGTTAAATATCCAAAATAACTGAAAACGATCTTTTGATTTCTAAGTTTCAAAAGTCTTAAAGACGAGAGACGTAGCATTTATTTCATCTAATGTACATGAGTAAATAAAAATATGCTCGTCATGTCAATACATAGAACGTGATAACTGATTGACGGCAGTTTTACCCGTTCCCGTTGATGTTTGCCGAGGTAGTCCGCGTAATGCTAGGCAACTCATTATACAGAGTGGGGTACGCGCGCTTGTCTACCAAGCGGCAACACTGTCAGCTGCTTCCTGGTGTTAATTGAACGTAGTTGTTAGATTGAGTCAACATCTGAGAGTAAAAAAGCTCATTCGCAAAATTATCGTACAGTCAGCTATTATCCTACACATAGTATCGTACATCGTACAGTACTTGAAACTATCGTATAGAAACGATAATTATCGTACGACTGGCAACGCTGTCTGTCATTTTCAGCCGATGGACCACAAAACATATACACTGAAGAAGGTTTAGTCACGTGCTAACCATACACGGTTGATTTATGTCAATCGCCATTTTTTCTGGATGCCACATGGTTGCCAGATTGAGCACGAACGCAGTAAGCGACGTTGCCGGCTCTTAGCATAAATCTGAGACTGTTGTATAATTTTATTGTGCGCATTTTTAATGATATATAGAAGATTTTATAACGCCATGTGTTATTAACGTATTTTTGCTGTTTTGACAAATCAGTAGTCAGTTATTTGTTGAAGCAGCAGCGTAAATAACACAGGCCATTATAAAGGTATCCATATATCCTAATTATTTAAAATTTTGAAAACAGTAAAAAAATCTATACTTGAGAATATATTTTTATCTGAATTTTATATTGTATGATCATATCAATAATATTTGTGATCCAAATATTTTCATTCCTGGTAATGGTCTTCTACAGCACCTGCATGCAAAAATTGTTAAAATTAGTGGTGAAAAGAAATTCTTTTCAAAAAGAAATAATAGTTATCGTTAACGACTGCAAGGTTGCTAGAATTACCAGATTTTTCATAAAAGTAATACAATGTTATGGAAATCACATTTCCATAACATTGATACATAATCAGAAAATAAAAGCTTATGGAAAATATGATTATATATAATTTAGAAATTTTTACAGTGTCATTAAAGTAAATCATACTTCATATAAGATTTTATAGGATGGCAACACTTTTACCAGCTTCTTTCCAAGCTATAAATATTTAGTAACAAAACCCTTGATGTTGAAGTAGACATTCAAACTTGAAATCTCAGGAAATTGTCGTGAGTTTCTCATATCAACTACATAATACCATATTAATAGAGAAGCTCTACAAATCACTAAATTTAACATAAACTTACATTAGCCATGATTGTGAAACACATTAGCCATGGTCCTGAAGCACCCAATTGTCGAGATGTATGCCCTGGAGAGAAAACAGTAGCAAGTGATCTATATTCTCTCTATATTTGATCACCATGGGTTGGCAGTGGGATAAAGTGCCTTCAACTCTGCTTCTTGAATGTTTCATAGCGCTCCACATTTGTGACTATTGAATCAAGTAGAAATCCCCAATAGTCGTAATTTTCTAACAAATACATCCTTCCAATATAGAATCTATCTAACGTTTGTTGTTTGTCAGCTAGAAAAAGATGAGTTGTTCTTTTAGCCAATTTTACCAACATGTTAGGTATTATACTCCAGATTCCAAAGTTCTTCATCTCAACAAAAAATGTAGATTAAATAAGAACGACTTGAAATTTGTTGTTACGAAGGTCCTACCTTCGAGGCCATCCAGCCATGAATAAAAGAGAGGTTAAATAAAAGGGACAGCAATAAACTGTCAGACATGTCAAAGCCGCCATTTTTCTGGATGCCACAGCGTTGCCAGGTTGTGATCCGGCAACACCGCACTGTTTCCCATTGTCCCATATGAGTTGACTCCCCATGGTAAAATCTGAGGATGTATTAGCTTTGGCGAACCATTTGTAGGGGGCGCTCGTCAGATTTGTTACCTCTCTACGCGAAGATCAATTAGTTGTGGTAAAATGCTTGCAATCATCACTGATCACTCGCTCCTGCAAGATTTCATAGTGCGGCAACACTACTATCTTTCTAGAACCCCGCTCCACCGTTTCGCAGAATGAAAGAAGTATAATACAACTTTTAGGATTCTTTCCGCATTTGCTATAAAATCCACCACGGTATGCTCGATGCTCGGCTACCAACACGGAAGACAGTAGAAGAATATCTCGTTCACCACTGCTAACGCGGTGTACCTTTGTATCGGTACGTACAAGGATGTATGATGTGTTTTGGGTCTAGTCATGGTGGGTAGCATCGTGCTGGTGTTTAAGATTATTAACAGACAGTATTGGGGTATGGAGCTTTGAAATTGTGAGGTCGAAGTAGGCAAGTACAAGGGTTCTATTTTTGCGAATAGACGCTAGCCTGAACGGAGGCGCACTAGGGGTTATACCTAACTACTTCTTCCTCTTCAGAGCCTAAACACCGGAATATCTCAAATACTCAAAAACTAAAGAGATGTTCTTGACACGAGTCTCGGGCTGGTTTAAAGTCGGTAGAACTAAGGGAAGCCACTCTTTTGCACCGAAGCAGCCACGCAGACAGAAGCCTAAATGCCTCCTCTTGTAGATTGTTCCACAATCTCGACACTCTCGGAATAAAAAAGCGGTCGTATCGGCCAGATCTGGATGTACGAAGTTTGACACTGTTAGGATGAGAGACCGAAGTCAGGCGGGTCTATCTGGCAAGCAAATCGCGCGGCGGCATCATGGAGGCGAGCCTTGAGGAGCAGCCTCTCATACACAACAGCCAAGCTCACCTTCTCAGTGGTACACCCACTTTATAACTGACGAGGAAATGGCGACCGGTGACTACTGGCATAAGTAGTCAGGGTCTCTCCGGGATGCTGATCAAGATTGCATTTTGACAGCGTCTGTTCCGAAGCGGGCGCCTGTCAAGGGGTAGTCCGGGCTAATTGAGTTATGGCGAAGGCAGGCGGTCTAGGGACGCTGATCCGAACAAGACAGCAGGACCGATGACGACCTGGCTATAGAAAGGACAATGAGGATCGTTTCAGCGTGGCGGCCCACTGGAAGTGCTCCTACGGAGCTGCTGTGAGCTTGCTCTACCATCGTGAAGTTGCGACGTTGAAGCAGGGACCAGCCCCTTCGGGCCCTGTTCAGGAAGTATACCATGAGTGCAAGACTAGGAATGTTGCATTGCTCCTTGCGAGCCTCAAGGAACTGGTGAGGCTTGCAAAATGCATCCGAGGGTACACCCGTTCCTAGCTCTATCTACTCGCCCCTTACCACACGAATTCATGGAATCAAAGAGAATAAAATAGAAAAATCCGAGGTTTCAGGTAGCGAGGTGGACATGAACAGCCTGACAGTTACGACCGAAAAATCGGTAAAAATGGGAGATGGAAAAGGGAAAAATCCGTCCTTCTTTAGAGCACAACACTCCATTTCATTTAGCGAGTGCGGAAAATGGGGTTCGAAATCCCGGGAAATTCATGCCACAGAAACCTAGTACTAACTGCTGGAGAGATTGAAGGAACGCTACTCAAGAAAAATCAAAATCCACTGGTTTACGACTCAAACGAGTTCCAAAGATATTTACAATGCCCTGCTAACGTAAGAGTCAAATGCAGGACTAGATGAGGCATCAAAAAGCCATGAAAAATTCATGGAGTTGAACAAGGAATCAAAATGGCCACAGCCATGTTTCCAGGTGACGTGGCAAGCTAATGCTTCCCTGAAGAACGCTGATACTGGTAAACGACACAGAGGATCGACGACGAAGTTCTAGCGCAATTACAGCTAGACATATTGAATTAGACGAAGCTCCTAAATATGCCATTAAGACAAACAGCAGCGTGGTCTCAGACGTAGATTGTGACGACGTTTATGTGCAGAGCAAAAAGACAGCTATAACTATCAAGGATGCTGAACACAACGAACAGGGGCAGCTGTATAAAATGGTAGAGCTAGCTTTAACAGAAGGTCTAAGGCAGAAGGTTGATGAACTCCTGGATTCAAAAACCCTACAACGCTTCTCTGGGCGGCCATAGGATGGAAGTTTGCATGAGTGAGCAGCGCGCGACAGCTGATCGAGCAGGAGTCGATCGTAGATCCCTTCTTTCGTATGGGTTGGACATGAGCAAATTTCCAGTTTTCTGGGAGGTGCCGCGTTCGTAAGATATCTGGAGGAGGCACGAAACAACTGTCCGGTGCTCATAAGCTTATAGTATAGGGAACCCTTTGAATCGACGGCACTCGGGCGGAGTTGGCAGCAAAGATATTGGCAAGCACTTCAGCCTTAGCCTTTGAGTCGGTTACCATCCTTCCATCCTGACACGTAAGTGGTGGAAGACCTCTATGTAAGAAGTTCTTTTCAATCTGCTTGGCCAGCATCCAAAAAGACCGACTGTCAATGCATTGTACATTATCCTGTGCCTAACTTTCATATCGTACTAGTCTTTGGCATTGCGGACCGCTTCCTATATTTGTTTCTGGACTTCTATTACGTTAATAGACATTATCGATACTCTATGGACAAAGACGCGATCGCTCTGGTTAAAATGAGAAGCATAGGCTTCCGTTTAGCGGGCCTAGAATGCTGTGGTACCTTGGTGAATGCTATACCTATATATACAGGGTCCGTCAGATAGAACGCATGTTTTTTAAATGAGTAGTACAGTCAAAATAAGTCTGGGAAAAAATATTTTATTACATCAAAATACTCAGAAATACATGCCATTTTTTGAGTAAAATAAAATTTACGTTCTAAAAACTATGTTGGCGCCCTTGAGCCTAAATGCAGGAATCAAGCCTTTCCCGAACTGAGCCCATTGCGTCGGCCAGCATCCGTGCAGGAAATTGTGTTACTTCTCTTTATATTTTCTCCTTCAAATCGATGAGGGTTCGAGGCTTGCTTTGGTAATTTTTTGAAACACGTTGACAGGTCCGGGAAGCGAGGGAGCCATGGAATATCGACATGACGTGAAATGAGACTTCCTGGGAATTTTTGCTGAAGAAGTTCCATCGAAGTGCGAGCTGTGAGACAGCCAAAAAATATCCTAAATAAAATCAACAAAATATTACTATTTTTAATGTGCTAAAACCGGAATGAAACTTATTTTTTCAATAATGATTCGTCAGGAAGAAGATATGCCATCAACGTCACGAGATCCTGATTTTATACCGAGCACGTCATGCCACCAACCGCACAAAATAACACAGTCAGAATTAAATGATCTTGTAAGAGATTTAGAACTTCCAAAATGTAAGGCAGAGTTACTTGGATCAAGACTGCAGCAGTGGAACTTGTTAGAAGACGATGTTTCTGTATGTGTTTTTCGTAAACGCCACAAAGACTTAGAACCATTTTTAAATATGGAGAATAACTTGGTTTTCTGCAGTAACATTAACGGCTTACTGGTGGCTTTAAATATAAACTATAACCCAGAAGAATGGAGATTGTTTATAGACAGTTCAACATTGAGTTTAAAGGCAGTGTTATTGCATATTGGAAATATTTTACCATCTCTTCCTGTAGGGTATGCAGTTCACATGAAAGAATCATATGACAATATGAAGTACCTATTGACATGCATAAAATACGATGAGCACCAATGGCATATTTGTGGCGATTTGAAAGTTGTTGCACTTTTACTTGGGCTGCAGCTAGGCTACACAAAGTTTTGTTGTTTTTTGTGTGAATGGGACAGTCGGGCAAAGGCACTTCATTACACCAGACAAAACTGGCCTGTTCGTCAATTCCTAGAGCCAGGTCAAAAAAATGTACAGCATATGCCATTAGTAGATTCGAAAAAAATTTTATTACCACCACTGCATATCAAGGTGGGCCTAATGAAAAACTTTGTCAAGGCATTAGATAGAGATGGGTCAGCTTTTCAATACCTGCGTCAGAAATTTCCAAGACTAAGTGAGGCAAAGGTTAAAGAAGGTATTTTTGTTGGGCCACAGATTCGAAATATTTTGAAAGATACACAGTTTGAAAACACTTTAACAGGTATTGAAAAAACTGCTTGGAATGATTTCCGTCTGATGGTTACTAATTTCTTGGGAAATAGAAAAGCTGACAACTATAAAACCCTTGTCAAAAATATGCTGTCATCGTATCAAAAGATGGGCTGTAATATGTCTCTTAAGATACATTTCCTACACTCACACCTGGACTTTTTTCCTGACAATTGCGGAGCCGTAAGTGATGAGCACGGCGAACGTTTTCATCAGGATATTTCAACAATGGAGAAAAGGTACCAGGGAAAGTGGAATCCTTCCATGCTTGCAGACTACTGTTGGACTCTTGGTAGAGATGCTCCAGAAACGATCCATAAAAGAACAGCAAAAAGACAGCGCATATAGTGATTCTTATAAGTATATGAATCTTGTTACTTTTTTTAATATATCCTTAAAAATAAAAAGTTTTTTTTCTAAACCGCAACTATTTTTTTTATTTCATTGTCATTTTTGGATTCAGCGCTCCAAAATTAACAAAGAAGTGCACTTTTCCCACAAGATACAATTAAAAAACTAAAATTTGTTGACCAGTGAATCATCGTTGGGCCTACTGCACACCAAACTGTAACTTTCGGGGTAGGCAGGAGGTGCTCATGCAACTGTTGGGGGTTCACTGGAGACCAATATCGACGATTTTGTTTATTGACGTATCCATGTAAATGAAAATGTGCTGCATCACTCATTAACAACGTCATGCCATTGTTATCCAACTGTTCAATCATGAGCTGTGCAAAATCAACACGTTGTGCATAATCCCCTGGCAACAGTTGTTGACAAACTTGGATTTTATAAGGATGGAACACTAAATCCTTCTTCAAGATGCGACGTACAGAGGACACGTGGATCCCTAGGGAACTGGCACGCAAACGGACGGAACGATTCGGGCTTTGCAGCCTGTCAACTCTCACTCCCAACCATGTCAAAATGGTGTTACGGTCTGTCCGACGACGTGGCACACGAAAGTGAACGACAGTCGCTATTTTGAAAGTACCGACGTACAGTGAACACACGATGCCCAACGTTCCAAACCATCTTACCAACTGAAACGGCACTTCTCCCACTATCCAACACGCCCTTCACCACCGACACGGGACCAGCCCACTCGATGTAGTACCCATTCGAAAAACATGCGTTCTTTCTGATGGACCCTGTAGTTATACACAGAAAGGTGAAATGAGTAGATAACTCTGAAGCGAGAAGCATGTGATAAATAAATGTTTTGTGGATTCAACGTGCGTTATTATAAATATTGATGTGCAAAAGAATCCTGCATATATAAAAATAATCCCAAATTAGTTTTGAATACGAACATCCATGCTAATCCTATAAAAACTATTTTTTGAGGATTATATGTCGTTTCATAAAACTTTTTTCATGTTTTAAATTTACCAATTTATGATCATATATTGCAAAATATTCTTAGCATACGTCTCTATAGAAAATTGGATTCCATTTGAGTCTATTTATAAGTTACAACAAAATGTTTTGAATTTTCTAAGCAGCATAACGTTGCCTATCCTCAGGTAAATAGCTATCATACGCCACGCTTTAAATGAGGACATTGCCTATATTTATTTTTTTCTCAGTGAGTTCTCAGTATACTCAGTGACATTAGTACTGTTACACCCAGAAAAAAAATTCTTCAACTTGATTTTTTGACAATACTCGTAAGGTAGTCTGACATCAAGAATGAAACTATAACATACTAACGAAATTTTATTGACAAGTAATAAGAAAAAAATAATGTGTTGGGCAGCTGAATACATTCCTGTATACGTCTAGGCATCGACAAAATTCGATGATCGATGTCTGGTTGTGGACCTCATTCCAAGCATTTTGAACTTCGTGGATTAGCTGTGGCAGAGTCTGTTGCGGGTGGTACAAAGTGGACAGTCTCCTCCCCATCATATCCCACACATGTTCGATGGGATTTAAATCCGGTGAACGGGCTGGCCATGACAAAACATTAACGCCTGCTTTTTGAAAAAAGTCCGCAGTATGACGAGCAATATGGGGACGTGCGTTCTCTTGCTGGAAAAGGACGTGTGGACGCCCCTCTAGATACGGCAGTAAAGTGGTTTGTAGGACATCATCAACATAACGCGCAGCAGTCATTGGATTGAACAAAGAGATCGGTTACTATAGCCAATAGCCCCCAAACCATTACTCCAACAATCTTGTTGCCTTTCAACAGCAATTCCAATATCACGCCGTTCTCCACGGCGGCGTCTTACCCTTCTACGACCATCGCGCGCACCTAAACAGAATCGCGATTCGTCGCTGACAGTGACAAACGTTGACGGCAGTGGTCTGTAGTTAGATGAATCACTAACCGTGGACGGTATGAAAAAAGTTCAGAGGGTCGAATGCGGCGATTCATGGTACGCATTGTAACAGGTCCAGCTTCTTCTCCAAACGGTCTCGTTGTCTGAAGCGCCTATCTTGATGCTGTGTGGTAAGCGCCTTGGTGGACCAGTTGGCCTTCGTGTTCTTCAACCTTCTTCTATCGACACACTACACATCCGCATTACCGTCATTGCAGTACAATTAACACGGCGGCCACGCCTTTTTTAGAAACAATAGGAAATGGATTCCACTTTCTTTTTTTTAATTAACTAATGAATTAATAAAACACTATAAATGAAATCTAAGGGTCAGCTAATGCAAAACAGCTGTCAAATGACGTGCAGATTTAGGCCCTAGCTCAATAATAAATAAAGCGGAGAGTAGGGGGGTTTAAGGGCGCCAGTGACTTAAGACAGATTAAGCCCCAAATCCCCGAGATGTTAGTCGGAACTTGTTTTGCTTGACCACCACACAAAAGAAAAGAGTCTCACAGTAATGACAAAACCTAATTACCTGCACATAGAGAGCCAAATAAAACAAGGAATTCAAAAAAGAGTCACAATCTATTATCAAAACAAGCAGCACAAAGAAAGGATATTGTTCAAAACTACATTGCAATAAAATTATTAGACGTGATAATTAACCCTGCAAAACGTTTACCACGTACGAAGGCTTTACAAATGTATGCTTTACAAATATTTTAACGCCTAAACCTAAACTTATCTGGATAATGGTCTTCTTCCAGTTACAGCTCTAGGCGCAGCTGAGATGTTCTCAACTCACAAATGCTCAGGTCAAACACCAGTACCCAGTAGTGAGCAGTGTCGTGACGAACGTCACAACGTAGGGGCTGCTTGCCTCGTTTTCCAAAATGTACGAAAAACCCTAGAGAGAGAAAGGCAGCTTAAAAATCTACTCTCTATTCTCTTTCTGAGACAAAATTATATATTTAAAACACTCAATACTTGAAGAAAAACCATGTACATAATCTTTTACAAGAAAAGTAAAGCAAGTGCAAGAAAAGATAAACATGTACTAAGGCGATATACCCGCAGAAAGTCATCCCTTGTTCTAGAATAAAGTTATGGCAGCTCAAAAATCAAAATCATGATCAATGTAATGTAGTGAACCCAAAAGAAGGCGACATACACACACTGGCCCATATTTGAAAGCTGGAGGAATGTGAATGGTGGTTCTCCGCAATGCCTTTCCACTAAAAGGAAGCAGATATTGAACAAATTCTTCAGGACATGGTCTGATGGTATACAAAAAAGACCTTACCGCTGAAGGTTAAAATCCCATTAGAAAATGGACGGGGAAGCACCCAAAACCAAAACAACTAAACGTAAGGTGCCAAATAAATGATGCTACTCCATAATATCGTGTTGTGGGTCTAAATCCCAGAATCTGGAAGCGAAGCGACCCACGCACAACCAAACCTCAGCAGAAAGAAAATAAAAATGGCGCTAGACGCGTCTGTAAACGCAACTTTTTAAAACAAGGTATCTTGATAGGTAAAGAAGGTACCAAATACACAAGGTGGCGCTGGTTGCCAATGGGCGGATCCAACTCGACGAGGGATCAATGATATTTTATGAGAAAATTTCTGAGATAGTCGTTAATAATACTATAACATTAGTGTCCAAAAGATTTCAACACAATACTGAGTCACTGAGATAGAAAGATATAATACGTGTGAAATTATTCAATTAATAAACTATGAAATTTTCCAAAAGAAAATCGTTAAAAAGGGTTTGGCCCAGAAATCGGCAATTCAAATTACTAGTAAGTGATCAAAATAGTAAAAAAGGATACGTGATTTTGGGAGGTGACAAGGTCTCAGGAACTGCTTTCTTCACAGAAACTGAGAGATAAATTAGTCATTATTTTGCCAAAAAACAAGTTGAGGAAATTATTTTTTCTGGGTGTAACACTTCTGATGTCACTGAGTATATTTTGTGGTGTTTTTATTTTCTAATAGGAAACAGAGCAGACTGACGATAAAGAAGGTGGATGCAGACCACATAGGGCAATATGAATGCGTAGCGCAAGCTGCAAATGGGCGGACAGCGTCCAGAACCATCTCAGTATCTACATCCACTTATCCCAGTGGTGAGTATACTATCGTCGTTGATATTATCTAAGTCTAAGATATAAATTTATATTTTATAGATTCAGCTTGGCACGACTTTAAATCGGTGATTTCACTACTAAAAACATGTTTAACTGAATAGCGTGCAATATCAGTTATTGATAATAAATATAATAATTAATTCAATGGTAAATAAGGCAATAATTTGAGAATATTGTTGCTTGAAGTTGGATATTAGAACAGCTATTAAGGTACCAGATGATATTCCATTTGATGCCGATGTGAATGCCTGGTAGATTCACCATGCGAACTCTGTTACTTGATCACCAATGTCCTCAACAATGTCACTCTCTGTCAACCTTTCTATTTAGGGTACAGCAGAGGAAATCGTATAGGATACGGTTAGGATGTATTTTACTTCAAAATTACATAACTTTTCTGACTTTTTATATGAAATACAAAACAGACGGACGAAGCTGCATAAAAATACGGTCCAAAAAACTTGCAAGCTGGTATCTTTTTCAAATTCAACATAAGCAGCTGTTACATTCTCCAAAACATCAATAAAATATCTCATTACAGGAAAAGAATGTCAAGGACCTATGAGGACAAATTTTTGTTCGAATGGAGGAACTTGCCATGCGGAAGTAACAATGGGTGAATATTATTGTATGTAAGTAAATCAAAAATAAGATTCTTAAATGACTGATATAACAAACGGATGATACCTGATATATGTTAAGTCCAGATTTGTTTCAACTGCTTTTAGTACTTAATTGTGCAAATATCTGAACGAAAACCTCTCTGTTACTGGAGTATAATTAATATGCTTTTTAATGTGCCAGAGCTGTTTAAAGCGATAACTTCCATGTTACATGGACTGACAAACTCTTCCAAATATAACATACAGTGGGCCCACGATAATCCGGCCCCTGTCTAATCCGGCGCCCCCTGTAATCCGACATGTCTTTGAATATGTATTACATACATACGTACTTGACAATCTTCGCTAATGTAGATCACGCAGGTTTGAACAGGTTACAACTTGTACGCGCTATCGCTATCGTGCTAGACGCGTAAGCATTGTTTTACTTAGCTTGAATTTGACTACTGGTGATAGCGGTACGGCCTAGCGTGCGTTTATTGTTTGCTATTTATTCATTGTGTATTAAGTGTACCTAGTAATGTCATCACAAACTCAGACGCGAAAGCTCAAAACATTGTCAATTAAAGAAAAATGTGATATTTTAGACCGCTTAAATCGCAATTAAACTTTCAGTAGTTTAGCAAGTGAATACGGCGTAGGCCGATCTACAATTTATGACATTAAAAGAAATCACGAGAAGATCAAGAAGTTTGTGTCAACTACTGACTGCGGGCCAGGCAAGAGACAGACACTCAAGAAAGCTGAACATCCAGAAGTGGAAGAAGCTTTGTACATGTGGTTTCTTCAGGAAAGAAATAGGCATGCACCAATTTCAGGACCCATGTTGGCCATGAAAGCTAAGTTTTTTTATACGGAAATAACAAAAAAAGATGATTTTGTGGCCAGCAAAGGATGGCTAGAACGTTTTAAAAGTCGTCATGGCATACGTTTAATGACTATTACAGGAGAGAAACTTTCTAACGATGCCACCTGCATAGAGCACTTTAAATTAAGATTTTTGCAAAAGGTGAACGATTTAAATCTTGACCCGTCACAGCTGTACAATGCAGACGAATCAGGGCTTTTTGGCGTGTGTAGCCTAACAAAACTTTCATTTCTTGTAACCATACTACCATGTGCTAACGCTGCGGGCACACACGCGCTTAAGATGATGGTCATTGGGAAATCTAATAAACCACGGGCATTCAGAAACATTGATTTACCTGTACACTATTATGGACAAAAAAGTGCATGGATGACAAAAGAACTCTTCAAAGAGTGGTTTGATGAATGCTTGGTACCTGAAGTTAGAAAATGGTTAAAAGATCATAATTTTCCTCAAAAAGCGTTGTTGCTTCTTGATAACGCTCCCGGTCATCCGTCTGAAGAAGAACTAACAACTGAGGATAAATGCATCACTGCGATGTTTCTTCCGCAAAATTGCACTGCACTGATTCAACCAATGGGCCAGAATATCATTCAGTTTGTCAAGCAAGACTATAAGAAAAACCTACTTCTGAAAGCCGTATCAAAAGACCAACCAATAGTAGTAAAAGAATTCAATATGAAAGACTTGGTTTTTTCTCTTTGTGGAAAGCGTTACCGTCATCAACTATTAAATCGTCTTGGAAAAAGTTATGGCCAGATATAGTCACCACTCCTAGCAACGTTCCACAAATCAGTGTTACTTCGGAAGTTATAGAACAAGTCGCTACTGAAACACAGATAAGTCCGGAAGAATCTGGTGCCGTGGAATGGATAAAGAGGAAAATGTTCTTCATGAAATGTCTGAGAAGAGATTATAAAAGAGGGTTCTAATTATACAACAAACAATCAGGAAAATAACGACGACGTGATTGCAACTGCTCCACAAGTCACAGCACAAGACGCAATTAACGCCTTTGAGCTAGATTTACAATGGGCTGAAGAGAATGGTACATCCTACAACGAACTTTTACTTTTGAGAAGGCTGAGGGACAAAGCTCTGATCTCGCGTTATAACAACCTTAAACAAAAAAAAATTGATAAATATTTCCAAGCTTCATAATTTGATAAATTCATTAATGATTTTGATTAATAATTCTTGATTATTTTGGTACATATGTATGTGCATTTATGCTTAATTTTATAATAAAACGTAAGCTCTCTATTGTTATTTAATTTACTAAATTCGACATACATAAACTATGTATGATTTGTACTTCAAAGTACATACATATACATAACATACAGGGTGTTTCAGTTTATTGTTGCATAACTTTAAGATTCGATAGAACTTTTAAAATTAATGGATAAACATGGGTCGAAAAATGCGTGGCTTCCGAAATACAGGGTGTTTAAATTTACTTTTTAAAATAGTTTTTTTTTAAATATTTCGAACAATATTTGATGTATAATAGTGAACATTGGTACACAAGGATTTAAAACGAACCATGGGCATAGTTTTACTGTAGCCGCTAGAGGGCGCTTTCTACTGTAGCTGTAGTGTATTAAAATGACCGAAAAATTTTTCTTAGTGCAATTTTTTGCTTTTTGAATAAAAAACTTATTCTTCGCACTTTTCTGCATAAAAAAGCTCTCCCGTGAGTTTTCGTTATAGTTAGCCGTTTTTGAGATATTTCGATTTTTAAGGTTCGATGCATTTTTAATTATTTATGGGAAAATAATATTTTTCTTACATTTTCGATTTGGGCATTACAAGTAATTAAGATGATCGTTTAGATTGTGTTTTTAAACACAGCAATAATTCCTAACTCCAAATAAACACAAAAAAACAGAATATTAATTTGGTTAATTTTCCAATATTATTTTTAACAAATTAAATTAATTATTTACAACTAAAATGCTATTAGATAGGTAGGACAAACATACAAAATCTAAAGTAGTTGCTCGAAATGTAAACCCAATTGTTCAATACACAATTCACATCTACGAATGACCGAACGTGGTATAGCATTATTCAAATAAGGCCTTATTTCATCACATGCATTCCTGATTCTGTCTATTAGCATATCTCTTGTGGTTACGGGAGTCTGGTACACTTTTTCTTTTAGAAATCCCCACACAAAGAAATCTAATGGATTTAGGTCAGGGGATCGTGGAGGCCAGGCGACTGGTCGTCCACGGCCGATCCATCTTTCTGGATAATTTTCGTCCAGCCAGTTTCTAACTATTCTCGAATAATGAGCTGGAGAACCAGGCCATTCTTCTTAAATCTAACATAACATCATCCTACATATTTGCAGGTTCAGCCTTTAAAAATTCCAAGAAGGTCGCAGCATTTAACCTTGCAGTCAAAAGGTAGGGTCCAAATAGTCGATTCCGGTAGATACCAATCCACACGTTCACACTAAATTCATGCTGAAAATTTCTTTCCCGAACTGCATGCGGATTTTCATGCGACCAAATATGTTGATTATGAAAATTTACCACTCCACGTCTAGTGAAGCATGACTCATCGGTCCATAAAACGTTACTTAAAAACTCCCTATTATTATCAGTTCTATCAAGAATCCACTGACAAAATGTGATTCTTCGTTCTCCGTCCCCTGGCTGTAGTCCTTGCACAGGTTGCAAATGGTAAGGACGTCTATGGCTATGGCTTCTAAGAACACGGTGAACATGGCTTGCTGAAATTCCCAAGGCACCAGAAACTCTCCTAACACTTGTGGTCGGATCTCTATCAAACTCACGCAGAATCATACGGGTAAATCTGCGCTGACGAACATTTATGTTTTGATCCCTTTGGAGATTTCCAAAACCATTTTCGATTATTTGGCGATGCACTCTTACAAATACTGAGCGAGTTGGATGTCGTCTGTTTGGAAATCTTGGTGCGTATTCTCTGGCTGCTTCTGCAACGTTTCCATTTACAAAGCCATACACAAAATGAGTATCCGCTAATTCTTGATTGGAGAATAAAAATGGCATTTTTATAAAACTTACAAAAAAAAACAGGTAAAAGAAACTAAATTTCGTGCATTCACAATTGCAAAAAAACGTTTCAGGTTTCAACAGACAACAAAACTAACTGTCAACTAATTGACGTTTAACCTTATTCTGCTTTCAATTTCAAAAATATTTGCAGGCACAGCCTACTTCTAAAAAATATCGAGATACTGACTTTTTAACGTTATTTTATCATAAATAATTAAAAATGCATCGAACCGAGCTTTTTTATGTTGAAAAGTGCGAAGAATCAGTTTTTTTTCAAAAAGCAAAAAATTGCACTAAGAAAATTTTTTCGGTCATTTTAATACACTACAGGTACAGTATAGAGCGCCCTCTAGCAGCTACAGTAAAACTATGCCCATGGTTCGTTTTGTCGTACCAAAAAACCCTTGTATACCAATTTTCACTGTTATACATCAAATATTGTTCGAAATATTTAAAACAAACTATTTTAGAAAGTAAATTTAAACACCCTGTATTTCGGAAGCCACGCATTTTTCGACCCATGTTTATATAGACTTTATGCATTAATTTTAAAAGTTCAATCGAATCTTAAAGTTATGCAACAATAAACTGAAACACCCTGTATATAATCTTACCATTGGATATGTAATTTGTTGGATTACAAGGTACTCTTTTGTAAAAAATTCCGGACTATAGGGGGTCTTAGGCAGTGCTCTATCATCCGACAAATTCGATAGCCCGACAGTGCCCTGCATAATGTTTGTCGGATTACCGGAGGTCCACTGTATGTCCTAAAAGTTTTGGCCCAAAATATTTATCTGATTTTTTTTAATGAAGAAATTCATTTAAATTCTAACTAGTTATCATAAATTACACCTCAATACTTAACTGAACTATACTATCTAATTATGTGGAGTAGCCCATTCTGCTCTACCAGACGCAACTTTATTCCATGATAAACAGACAGATTATACCGTAAAGCCAAAAAATCCTCTATTGTGCGAGCCTGCGGTAAGTTCGGAAAATTATCGCTTTTGGGAACAAAAGCTATGTTGTGTTGTTGAAGCCAGTTTTGTTAGGTCTGGCCTAAGTTATCAATATAGCTCCGATTATTCAAAGCTTCACCCTCTTTCTTCCCACAAAATGTTGGGATACACCCCTGTTGGGAATTGTGCATCAGACAAGGATTTTTATCTGCAAATTTTGCTTTATGTTTGTATCTAACATTGTCAGGGTATTCTCCTATGTTGTCTCTATAAAATTTGACATTTTCCTTCATTTCAGAATTACTCAAAGTACTTATCGTCATCGAAATCAATGATTTTTCCATTTGCAATGTGTACCGCCTTAGTTGGCAATACCATCTTGGTATACGAAGGAGTTGCGCTTGGGAGTATATGGGGGCACTTAAGTCTCTTTCGATATTTAAGACCATTCCTCCTCGTACTCTTAGAAGGTCTGTATTGACGAGCCAGTCTCCTTGTTGACATTCCAACCTGATTTTTTTTCTCTTCTCACCAATCTCTCTGACCTCTCAGCGGTAGATGCACGTGGTCTTCCACTTTTTGGGAGATTCAGACATGCATTCCGCTATTGTTCGATAAATGGTTCTGCGTGAAATGTTTTCATTCTGGAATATTCGACAGATTTCAGCTTTGGATACCCGCCCAACCAGCTTGTCGATACTTTTTCTTATTTCTAATTTATACACCTTGAAGCAAAAACTTAAAAATAAATAAATGTCAACTGTCAGTAAAGTAAGTAAACAAACTTTTGATTCCAAAGGCATCTCAAAATTATTTGGTGTTTGTTAAAATTAAAGCCAATTAATTTTGCGCCAAAACCTTTAGGACATACGCTAATTCCAACAATTATCCAGTTTCTGAGATCTACATTCCACAATTTAGCTTATCCTGAGGTTGCTGAATGTAACTCAAAAGGATTGTCCTTAGTGTGTTCGAGAGTTGACGAAACTCTACGATTGGAGTCCGCATTCATATGATCTTTTTGCTTATAAAAAAGGTTATTTATGAAAATGTTCGCCCTAAATCTACAAAACCTAATTTCAGCCATATGTTTAAGAAACATTATATTATAGAACAGTTCAACCTGATGGGCACTTTGAGTCTATCTAACATCATTCACATGCAAAACGAAGGTGGTAGACAAGGACCAGTCGACCGAGGCGGTACCACCCGCTAGCTTTTCCCAGGGTGTCTTATAAATGTACACATGTTTCCACACCTAAGCTATGCAGTCGGTCATTGTCCCCAACAAAGAAATTAACGACGATGGATCTTTCAAGTACTAAGACTTTTAGACTTTTAGACACTCACGGAATTTCCCGGTGGAGGGTGGACTCGAGAGAACAAAATCGAAGTTAAAATTTGTTTCACGAACATCTGCGGGAATAACAGCAGCATTGATGCTGTTCATCACTTCTTGCAGTCCAATCGTCCCGTCATGCTTTTCTTGACGGAGACAAAAATCTCAGAGTCTGCACCGGTTAACCATCTTAACTTCCCAAATTACGAGGTGCACTACAATCTGAGAAAGAACGGGGGAGTTGTGACTTTTGTCCGCATCAGTCTTTCCTGCACCAAAGACGTTTCTTTGGAATCAGACCGGAAGGACATTCTGTGGCTTCGCCTCAACTCCAAAACTTCCCCCAAATTTATTTGCTGCATTTATCGCTCTCTCTCTCTCGGACCATAACTGGGATGACCTACTTGAATACCTCGCCGTCAAGATGGACTTCCTGAACATCAATCACTCCGCTTCAGAGGTAGTTCTCCTCGGTGATTTCAATGCCCATAATGAGCTTTGGTTGGGCTCAATCAAGACCGATCAGCAGGTCATGCAGTTGAAGCGCTCGATCCTACTCAAGGGCTGACCCAGCTGGTGACGAGCCCTACTTTTTTTCCCAATCTCGTCACATGCCAGTAGCCTGCTGAATCTCTTTCTGACCACGCATCCAGTTTCTTACAGTATTGCTGTCCTGTCCCCGTGGGTAGCGCAGGCCCGTATCGTCAGTCGTTCCTACAATTGTAGGGCGCCTTTATGGCCTCCTTGATTGTCATAGATTTCTACTTATCCGTGTCAGCGCTCTATTTTGAGGTTATGTCACAAATATCTATTTGCATTAAATTGTGCTTGCTTTTGAGTTATATCATGTTTTATCAGCCTGAACTTTCTACAATTGAAAAAGAAAACATATTTTCACAATAGGAGAGCGCTGACGCTGACATGGGACAGGTGCAATATAGAAATTTTTGAAGGAGAGAAGGGAGTATGACAATCAAGGAGGCCATAAACGCGCCCTACAATTGTAGGAACGACTGACGATACGGGCCTCAGACCACGGTGCTGTGGAGGTTAGGTTTCGGTCAGAACCCTCTGTGGCAGCAGAAACTCGTACAGGCATTAAGGACGTGCCGACTGGGAGGGGCTCAGAGACTTCTTCTCTAGCTTCCGTTGGAAAGATGCTTGTTTCACTGACGTGAATGCGTCGGCTGTCTGTTCTTCGATAACAGAAATTATCTACATCTACGGGAGTACATCAAAGGGTTCCTTACACTATGAGAGAAGTAACATTCAGGCATAAAACCGTAAGACATGGGCTCTTGTCGCTCGATATCAACAAAGCTTCTGGTCCGGACTTGATTCCTGCCATTGTACTCAAGAGGTGCGCAGCGGAGATTGGGGATGGTGAGAGGTAATGTCGTTCATATCACGAAAGCGTTTGATCGGCTGTGGCACGCTGCCATCTGATGCAAACTTCCATACTACGGCTTTCCAGAGAAGCTTTGCAGATGGGTGGTTGACTTTCTCTCCATCCGCAAGGTATCCGTCGTAATTGACGGGTTATCCCCTTTATTCCACAACGTGAACGCGGCTGTTCCCCAGGGATCGGTCTTGCCTCCGAAAAAAAGAAGACTAGCGACGACTTCCTCTCTGACGAGAGGCTTGGAGGTTATTGCTGCTTGGAGATGCAAAAATCTTGAACAGTTTAATGCTTCCAAAACACATTACTGTACCTTGACGAACAAAAAGCGTCCTAGCGTCAATCCGGTTTCGATGGATGGCCGAGTTCTACTAAAGAGTCGTTCATTTCGGCTGGTTGGAGTCCAGATCACCGAGGACTTTATCTGGCATGAACACATCTCGTCAATAGCGGCAGCTGCTGGGAAAAAGCTAGGCTATTTGTTTAAGGCTAAGAAGTACTTTTCTCCGCATGACCTTCTCACTCTATACAAGGCCCAGATAAGGCCTAGCCTCGAGTATTGCGCACAGGAGGGCTGTCGGCGATCTAGCCCTCTTTCTACTGCTACACCAACAAGCTTTGCTCCTCAGAGCTCTCCTCCATGATGCCGCCGCGCAATGTGCCGACCACACAGACTCGCCTGACTTCGTCCTCCCATCCTAACCGAGTCGAACTTCATACATCCAGAACTGGCCGATACGACCGCTCCTTTGTCCCAAGGGTATCGAGATTGTGGAACAATCTACAAGACAAAGCCTTTCCTAGTTCTACAAACCTTAGGCAGTTCAAGAATCGGATGAACAATTTTTTTTTTTTGGGATCCTCATAGCATGCCCTAGCTTCTTCGGTACAAAAAAATCATATGAATGTGACTGCTTTAACCCATTGAAATGTTTAATAAGCAAATAGAAGAATAATATAATCTGTTTTTGTTTCAGTTGTGCTCCAGGATACAGTGGAGAGAAGTGTGACATAAAAGAGCCTAGCCACTCTAGTATGTATCCTCAGCCTGCCATTTACACTTGTAAATTAGGCCTATCAACAAAATACTATTGCTAAAACACAATCCACGATTCCAAATCAAGTACGCGCGATGTTCCGATCGCGAAAACAGTTTAATTTAAATTGTTACCGTTGTACATATATTTTTGATGATATTGAATTGTATATTTGTAAACTATCCAATATTTTATACACCTATAAGACTGTTGAAATTACATATAATTTAGCCGGTACAGTCAGTTATCTATATTACTTTTCACCCGAATTCGGAGTAGAGATTACTAAATGCATTCCTCTTAACGAAGAAAGCGTCATTTGTAGAACTTATTGCGTGGTTCAATGCTATTATGTCAATCCATTGTTATCACAAATATTAATTGTTTTAAAAAATGGTTCATCAAAATCGCAGTACCTCTCAGGTATATTTAGTCAAAGAATATAGAGTTACCAGTAGAAGAGCCACGTATCGTCGCATCTGCTCAGAAATAGATTCTGGTTAGGTTTTTTGCACAACCTTAATAAATGAGAAAAACAATTTTTGACTCAATTGTAGGTATGGAAACATGCAGATTCACTAAAAGTAGGTCTTTTCATCACCAATACGTGGGTGGTCTGAAAAGTTTCCAACCTAACAAAGATACAAGATATTTTTTCACTTGTTTTGTTTTCCAACATAGTCCCCTTGAAACTCTACACACTTTACATGAGGGAACAGAAGAAGTCGCTTGAGGCTAGATCTAGTAACGCGGATGATCAAGCAGTTCAAACCGTAATTTGTGGATTTTAGCCATGGCAACCGCTGAGATGTGAGACGGTGCGTAATCTTGGTGAAACGGGATTTTCTTTTTCTGCAAATGTGGTCGTTTTTCCGCAAGCTCTGCCTTCAGCTTGTCAAGTAATTATGCGGAGTATGCTCCTGTAATGGTTTTTCCTTTTTGAAGATAATCGAAATAACTCCAGACTATCCCAAAAACTAGTCGCCATCACTTTCTCAGCCGAAAAAACAGTTTTTTTTTTTGAGCCGGTTCCCCCTTTGTAGTCCATTGTTTGGACCGTATTGCAACGTTTTTCTGGGTTCTTTTGGGTGTGGATTAAAACACTGGATTCCATAAAAAGAAATGCACTAATTTATTTAACTTGATAAAACATTTCTACACACCACTATTTGTGTCTGACTAATTCTTATGTCGCCATTGCCTGCACTATATTCCACTCTGCTCTGCTACTCTACCATTCTGAGTACTCTGCTTCCATCTCCCGGCCGCCGACTTATATAGTCCGCATCGTTGGGTCGAGACGAACGGGAGCCACATAGCGGCCTTCCAGAATAGTCGAGGTCACTTCGCGTCGATCTTGAAGGCGAGTCGCTGCCACGGTCCTCACAGACGCCGCCAAGCGGCTTGTGCAGTCGTGGTTCGCGTAAAAGCAGAGATCGGCCATAGAGCTCTGGCGAATAGGAGACTCTCCCAACAGATGGCGCCAACAGTACTATTTATCGTCACAGCATTTTTGTTTCGGGCACATATAATGATGTATCCAAGTTTCCTCCGCGGTAATTAATCGGCACTAAAACTCGGATTTATTGCCTCTAAACTTCGCCAACAGAGCCTTGGAAATGTTCATTCGAACACGTTTTTGGTCTAACGTGCGCAAACGCGACACCCAATGCGCATGCCAAAATATTGATTCAATATGTGACAAACACATTCAACAACTGCCCGTCCAAAATGTCTGAAACTTTGGTGAGTAAGTGTCAACAGATGAACAACGAAATTCACTAGTTTTACTTACGAGTGCTGCCACCTTCACGTTGAGGTCGGAAACTATTCGGACCACCCTTGTGTATTTTTCCAATCAGATGCAAAGATACTTTCTGTACTATAACTGCCCATGTGGTCGCTACCAACTGAAAGTCTGAAGCATGGCTGTTGGATGTGTATGTCGTAGCTTCTTAGAGAATTGACTTCTTAGCTAAGAAACCGGTCACTTAGCTAAGTAGCGCTAATTAAATGAATTACTTCAAAGGTGCACGCCCATTTTTTCTATAAAGCTGAATAAACCAGTCCTTTAGAAGTGTTTTCGTCTATATAAAGGCCGTCTGTCACGATACAAAAATGTGTGCTAAATTTAGTACGACAGTGTCAGACATTTATTATAAAATTAAAATGTTCTACAATTACTCCTGTTCCAAAAGTGCAAAATGCTGAGTTATATACAAACATACGGCCAATTAATGTACTGCCAGATGTCGAGAAGCTCTTAGAAGGAATCATATATGAACAAGTTATTGAATATATTGAAGAAAATAAGATATTGACAAAATTTCAAGCAGGATTCAGAAAAAAGTATTCAACTGAAACAGCAATTCAAATGGTAGTAGAAGAATGGAGGCGAAATATGGATGAAAAAAGTTTACAGTAACATTGTTCTTAGAGAGCATTTGAGACTATTGACAGGGAGAAATTGTTAGCGAAATTGCATTGATATGGATTTCAAGGTTCAGTATTCAACTTATTACAAAATAATTTAATCAATAGAAGTCAACGAACTAAAATTGGCAATACATTATCAAACACTAAAAACATTTCGGTAGGTGTGCCACAGGGTAGCAAATTAGGTCCATTACTATTTATTTGATATATTAACGATACTCCTGATATTTTACAACACTGCAAAATTCAACTATTTGCTGATGATACATTGATATATATATATATATATATATATATCAAATAAAGACATTGAAACTGCAATAGAGCTGTTAAATAATGATATGAAAAACGTAATAAATTGGTTAAATGTAAATAAACTTAAACAAAACAAAAATAGGAAAATCTTTAAATGAAAATACGATAATTCCTATAATTAATCATGAAAAAATTGTGTCAAACGAATCATTTAAATATTTGGGCATATACGTAGACAGTAAATTAAAATTAGAAGGGTACTATGAATATATATTGTTTCAAAAATATCCAAGAAAATAAATTACTTTTATAGAATTTCGCATAGCCTAAGCGTTTATTCTGAAAAAATTCATTCTTCCTCATTTGTTATATTGTTCGACTATTTTGTTCACTGATAATGAAACTGTATTTTCAAAATTACAAATCTTACAAAATAAAGCTATGAGAATCATCTTAAATAAAAAAAAAATACTAGAATAAATTTTATGCTGAAAGAACTGCTAAATATCAAAAATTTCATAGCCTACTTGGTTTTTATTTTCATATTCAAGTTAAAAAATAATCTTCTACCAAATCACTTAGAAAATTTTATTGTATTGAACAATGAGTGCCACAATTATTCTACTAGAGGAAGTATAGACTTTCATTTACAAAACTGCATTAGCAATATAACGAGCAAGTCAGTATTTCAAAAGGGATTGTACGAATTTAATAAATTAAGTAATGATATCAAGATATGTGTCAGTTTGAAAATGTTCAAATGGAAATTGAAAAAATATCTCATGGAAAACCAGAATTCAAAGTAGTGAAATTTTGTATAAAAATGTGTAGTCTTGAATACATAATATATTTTGTGATATACTGGGTGATATGGATATTATGGCATTAATGCTAAATAAATCTGAAATAAACAAACAAATTGAGTGCTAAAGTTTTTAGAACCTGTTTTGTGTTGAATTTGGAGCAGTACAATGTCTGATAAAAGCACTACATGCATGTTTTCTGTTAACTCCTTGATATTCCCTTGATATTTTGATGAGATGATAATTGGTTGACAACAACAAGCCTAACCTGAAGCACTTTCATCAGTTGTGTTCATCAGCTTCTCGAAACTCCCCTGCTTATGCTGTTCCACTTCTGTATTGAAAAACTTGAAAGATGTCATGGTAACAAAAGAGCAGTGTGATACACTACTAAACGAGTATGAGAAATATGATTGTTTGTATGCTGTAAAAAGCAAGGCCTATAAAAACAGAAACGCCAAATAAGCTGAATTGGATAATGTCAAAATAACTAGAACCTATAGGCCCGTGGATCCTCCGCATTTCGAGCACACCTATTCCCGGGCCCTCTCCCTGGTCCATTTTAGACACCAAATTCTTTTACAATTTCGTTTACTTCGTTTTTTCATAAGGTGGGCAACTAGCAACGCAGATCGCTGGTCCCGCAGTCGCATATAATATTCGCGAATTATGGGATCGCTCCATTTTCTACAATTTTCTATTAATTTAAAGTAATACAGTAGCAAACCGAATAGAGAAGTGTGGCTAGTATGACTTTGACGTGATAAATGGCAGTTCGAAGTTATATTTTTTTTTCTACTGCCTAGCATGATTTCGTATGAAATTCACTACAAAAATTTCTTTACGTGACAGATAGGATTGTAATTTGTAAACAAATTGGGAGCTAAATTTAGTAACGAATTTTCTTACAAAATTTGGTGGTAAATTATGAAGAAAATTTTGTATCGTGACAGCTGAAATCTCGAGTTACCAGCTTTATAGAAAATGCAACAACCTTTTCTTCTAAGAAGCTAAAACCATCAGTCTCTCAGCTTAGAAGCTAAGAGGAATCAGTCATTAAGAGAAGAGCTAAGAGAACAATGGATAAAATAAAATCAAATCGTCACTTCATACTCGTTCTCCGTGCGAAAAACCAACGAATTCGAATACTTGGGTAGAAGACGTAAACAAAAGATTTGCTTGAGTGGTTACTAGTTTTCTGCGGTATTGTCACATCTTGTTCAAGATCAACAACTGCCTTCACTCAGTCGATAGATAATAGCAGTGAGCAGTGCAAAAATAATCATAAAATGTTATACGTGGTGATAACTAAATAAAGAGTATGTCTTCAATATGTTGTATTTTCAAGTAGAACAATTCATATGTATGCACCGAAAAGAAAGTCTTTGATTTCAGTGCCCTAATACATTTCATATTATGTTTCCACTAACTGATGCAGTGTTATCATAGCTTCAAAACCTACCAATTTCACGGAACTCTCAAAAATTAAAACAAATGTGATAGTAATTTTTCAAAAAAAACATCACAGCAATTTCCGAAAACGTCTTGAGCTATTCTTATTGTGGTTTCGTACTCATCAATTTCGAAATACATCTATGAATAAGCTCTGAAGGCAATTAAGAAATATGTATTGTTATATCCCGGTGATATTTCCTGAAAAACTAATATGTGCGTACTAAACGTGGCAACGCTGTGGTCTCAAATTAAAAACAGCTGGGCGGGTTTCTGGTGTTTTATACAGCAGCTTTGTGAAATTGAGGGAAAGCTTTGTTTTGCTCATGTTTACGAGTGTTTTCCGTGACATTTCAATTCAGTGGAATGTATAGCATTTTGGAGTATTCTCGATGATGGTTAAGTGTTGCATGTTATGTAAAAAGCAGTTTAAGCGCGATAAAAGCAGATGTCTACTCGGGAAAAAGCATACAATTTTCGTTCAAGGTCAAATTTTGTGTATACAATAATCTGTTGATGTTGCTAACAAACAATATTTTAACATCATATGGGCTTGGCTTCTTCTAACCTAGTCCGAATTCGTTGAGAAAAACGGACATATACACTTATTGCACATGGAACTGTTATGTCAGTGTCTGAGAAATCAAAAGACCACCTCTCGTTAACCTACCAATCAAAGTTAACAATTGGTAAATCGGTTCAAAATAAACTACACCTAAAATTATTCGCAGTCTTGTAGAGGCAGGCTTGAACTTTAGTTTATACACTTGGTAACCGCAAAAGTAATAATTTTTAACCGTTTTGTAATACATTGAAAGAGGCCATTTTAAGGGCCGTATCGTCAGTCCTTCCTACAATTGTAGGACGCCTTTATGGCCTCCATGATTTTCATTGTTTTTCCTATCCTTCAGGAAGGCGCTCTATTTTGAGGTTATGTTACAAACATATATTTGCATCAAATTTCTCATGCTTTCGATTTTGATTATCTGTTTTATCAGCCTGTAATTTCCTACAATTCAAAAAGAAAACTTAGCGAGGAGAGCGCTGACGCTGACACGGAACAGTAGAAATCTAGAAATACCCCAGCCTCTCTGAAGGTGAGAAAAGCCTATGAAAATCAAGGAGGCCATAAAGGAGTCCTACATTTGTAGGAACGACCTGATATTGAATCGCTTATAATTTGAGAAACGTCAACATTAGAGAAGAGTTACCATATACCTGGTTGCATACTCGTAACGAGATTTGAAAAAATAGTTTGCTATTTAAAGGATAAATATTTAAAAAAATCAATATTTTTGAGGTTGCCAAGTGTTTAAATTGAAGATGAAAAGTTACCTTATAAAACGCAAAAAGTATTTTAGGATTAGTAGATCTTAAAATATCCTAGCTTACAAGGCAAATAAGAGGCGATTTTCACAGACTGTGCATAACGTATTAACCGGTGTGTTTTATATAAAATATTGAATTTTATATTGCACATTGTTTATTTAGTCGTTCTCTTATTGACTGATTCCTCCTGGCTTTTTAGCTAAGTAACTGGTGGTTTCAGCCTTTTAGAAAAATAGATTGAGTTTGGCTCACCTCAGCCACATAGAAAATAAACGGGTCCATAGGAATATTTAGCTTCGGCACGAAGATACCAGCTCCAACACCTACCGCGGTCTTGGAGCCATCTGTGTATGCACAGATATCTTTCGTTATCAGGTTAACCTGCTGTTCCCACTCATTCCTGTGTGGAATTGTTACTGAGTAGGGTTTAGCATATCTTGTTATCTTTGGCATTATATCAGAAGGCATTCCCGGGCTGTGGTGGTTTTGTAAGTCCACCAGCATGTCCGTCTCCTCCATAGTGATATTGTCCATTATACCATTTGCCACATGATGTTGTCTATAAGATGTCCTTCTTGCCTCGCTTTCCAGGTAAATTAAGAAGGACCTCCGTAGCTGCAGTTGGTGTGGTATGAAAGGCACCAGTGATCAAGATACAAGCTTCTCTCTCTGTTGCGCTCAGTTTGGCTTGGACAGTTCTTTAGTCTAAGTAACTGGAGACTTCAGCTTTATAGACAAACATCCTTGGAATTCTTCTAAGAGGCTGTTTTATTCAGCTTTTTGAAAAAAGGGGCATGCACCTGCAAAGTAATTAATCTAAGTAGCGCTACTTAGCTAAGAAGCCTATTCTCTAAGAAGGTACGACAAATACAAAGCGAGTCACTATGACAATTTGGTGCTGCATGCCTGGATTCAAAATGTAGGAGGGAAATGGTGTTCCGATGTTTTGTTGCCTTGCTAATGATTTTAGTATAGTTAATCCAGCATATTTGGAATACGTTTTTTAATATAGAAGCTCAGGTCGAGGTGTAATTAACGAAGGGCGATCCGTCTAAAATTTATCTATGATTCATGAGCGTAACAGTGTCAAAAACATTACACCGTTAATTGTAACTGAATGCATGTTATAACTTATTAAGTTGTAAGTCAAATAAATGATCTGCTATTCAGCGGCTTTGGATATTTTTTTATGAAGTTTTGTCACGCATATAATAAAAACTGCGATTTCGAGAAACCATAAGCGATAATCTGACATATTTCGACAAGGTAGCTGTTACTGGAAAAAGTGTAAAAATAAATGTTACTTCTATAGAAACTAAAATCTGGGCTCTAATTTATATATGAAATAGGTCATTAATTTCACATTTTGAGTGTGGGTTTCACAGTCTCTAGTTATCTGGTTTCTAAGTGCTGATTTTACTATTGACCGAGGGGAATCAAATTTTGCGACCATGCAGCTATGGAACAAATTGGAAAAGGCATCTTGAAAGTAGTGAAGTAATGGTTCTAATGAATTTGGTCCATTTCTTTTAAGATGTCTCACAAACTAGCAAAAAATTATTCTATTTGTGCAAGATGGGCTACTAATTCCCATATTAAAACGAAGATGCTTCATAAAGTTTAGCTACAAGAACCTATTTGTTCATTTGTGTCCGGACATAAAAGTTTACGCAAATTCCATCGATCAAAAAGGATTTGTGGCCTACTCGAAACATGGTTCAAACCTGATACCTTCAATAGATTGAAATGACGCCATATCTGAGCATTTTATAGAAAATAACAGTGTCACACTGTGGCTGTACAAAGTTCTGCTTAGCGATGACGGTGGCAAGGCTAGAAATAGTTGTCCTACAGCCCAGTAGAGGGCGCGAGAAGTTTATTAAAGAATAAACATTCTTCAAGAATTTATCAAGCAGAATTTTATACAGCAACAGTGCTGTCATATCAATCTCTATTCTAAATAGCACAACTATATCTTAAAGACGTTTTAAAAACGTCATTTTAAGATATTAGAGACGTCGTAAAGACGTCTTGTGAACACTGTAAGACATCTTAGAGACGTTGTAAAGACGACGTTTGTTACAAAAACTGTGCGTCTTAAAGACGTCTTTATAGTACGTTCGTAAGATATTTAGTACGGCATTAAGACAAAAAACAAGTGAATTTTTTGTGTTATCAAACTTTTTCTGGGTGGGTGTCCGGCGATCTAAAGCTCGTCTCAGCTAAGCCCCGACTGCTAGCTCCACCTCATGGTGGCTCTGGCAGACACTGAAATAAATAAATAGGTACAGGTTGTTCCTTAAACTTTTTAATATGGTAATCCAAAATGATTTTATACTTTTTAGAATTCTTGTTGGCAGACAAAATTGAGTAAATGATCGGATAGATACTTACTAATAATCAGGTGTGTTATTTTCAAATCCTTGAAGGGTTCCTTTCGCTTTCGGCCATAAAAACTGTATTTGAATACTATTGAATTTGTTATAATGAAAGTTAAAACTCTCTTGACAAAATCGTACGTATTGCACCCCCGTACTCTTGAATATCCTTAAGTCAAAATACCTTTCTTTGAAGAATTCAATTAAGATTTCCGATTAATGTTTTGTTGCGAATTTACCTTATACAGGGTGTTAGAAAAATAGACGGAGATATTTTACAAGGTGATTCCTTGTTAAGAAATATGAAAAAATTTTCTATAGACATGGGTCCGTAAATGCAAAGTTTTCAAAATACAGGGTGATAATTTTTTTTATTAATATCTTGAAAAATATTTTCTCGATTCTGTTGAAATCTCGCAATATTATTGTATTAAGAGGCTAATTTTTTTATTTTTGTTTTTCAGTGCACTGATTCTTTTATCAAAAATTAATAAACCAAATTTGTCCAGTGACATGTAATAAAACTGTTTTTATTTTTTTTTCGAAAACGAAGTGGGGTACGAAAAAATACAAGAGGCACAGAAGTTTCATTTTTAGATACTAAATGAAATAACAAATATTAAAAAAGGAAGTGGCGTACATTTTTGCCAATAATATTCGCTAAAATGCCTCCCGGGATGCCACTGGTCCTAAATAATATTGCGAAATTTCCACAGAATCGACTGAATATTTTTTGAGATAATAAAAAAAACATTAATTTTATCACCCTGTATCTTGAAAACTCTGCATTTCTAGACCCATAATTATAAAAACTTTTTTCATATTTTTTAACACGGGATCATCCTCTAAAATATCTCCATCTCCTATCTAAATTTTACGTTCTTAAATGACGCCGGCATCATCTTGCATGAATTGGTCGACATTCAGGGCCTACACTTACTTGTTACAACACAGAACTCTTTTTTCTAATATGGACAAATGCCCAAGGAGAACGCGATTTCCAATTTACTTCTTTTTTCCACTGCAATCAAGTGAAAAATCATGGAAAATCGTATACAGACAAGAAGTTTTCCCGCGTACGCTACGCCCTACGCCTTAAAAAACCCTGACACAAATGACAAATGGCATTGACAGACGTTGTCGCTTTAATCGACGCATCGTCATCTGGTGGTGAACTGATGAGTTAAAACAGGATGATGCAATAAATTTTAGAGTTTAAAAGATTCCAGAAAAAGACAATTGGGGTTTATCGAGAAATAAAGACGTCTACTTTAACGACTTGTCTTTTCGCATAGTTTACAATAATGGAATTGGTTAAAAAAATATATGAATCTAAAAAAATGGTGATGGTATATTTTCAATCATGGTTGGGTAAACGAAAAAATATATGTTACTTTAAAGTTTAGTTGGATGTTCAGAATTAAGGTTTCTTTCTTCACTAGTATTTCTAACTTTTTGAGAAGCTGAATTCTAAAAATTTTTACCACGTCTTTTAAAAGACATAATAAAACATCTTAAAGATGTTTGTTTTATCGTTAGGATGTTCTTAAAAACCCCGCACATCTTAAAAACGTATTTTCAGTGTCTCCGGCGTTCGGACATTATTAGTGCTTAAAATGGACGTTCTTAAGAAGCTCTGTGCTATCTGGGATATTATATTAGATTTGTGTCCAATGTGTCTCATTTTTCATTGACGCACGAATTTTTTGTAGCTAAACCAATATTGGAATTAGGGACCCATATTGCATAAATCTTATATTATATTCAAGTTTGAGAGACATTTTACAAGAAATCAACCATATTTATTAGATCCATTACTTCAAAGACGCCCTCTCATTGGTTGAATTTGTGATCCATGTGCTTCTTTGCGCTCCGGCTTAGTAAAATAGGGCCTAAATGCGAGTGGCAGATAGAACTTAACTGGAGATTGTAAAGTTGGATTCTCACACTTAGTGATAATCAACCTATTCTCTGTGACAATTTCATTCATATATGTATTGTCCAATATATTCTTCATATACCATGTATATGTATATTTATATTTTTATACGCTTGTAATATATAAATCAAAGTCAAATAACTCAAATTCTGGTGAAAAGGTCGTACCTATGACTATCAGGGACCGATTATACTTAGATATTAGGAGCTCGATTCTTTACAGTAGCGCTAACTGAACATGCAGGGTTGTTTAAGAATATTATTTTAATCAGACTTATGCATTTGAAGATGACAGCTAAAATGCATTAGTTGATTGTTTCGTTGCAAATATGGATCGCAACCGAAACATTTTTTGGTTATGAATGTGTTTGCTGAGATGTCCCTATGGTCTAAACAATTTAGCAAAATCTCTGGAGGGAATTGTAAAAGATTTGGTGAAAAAATCAAAAGTAACACTGGATAACAAAATAGATCTAGTCTGGAAGTTGTGCATCTATCTTCTTATAAGCAATAAATTAGCATCAACATTATTTTTTATCAAAATATTGATCTAACAAGGCGGCTCCTTTTCCAGCCCTGAAATAAGTGTCCGCAGAATAAATCATTGATCACTTCAAATAATTTAATGTTACCCTTGATTCTTTTGTTCGCATAATAATGAGTTCTAGCGATGTGAGTAATGATGTTCTTTGAAATACTGAAGAATCACAATACATCTCAAGTGAATGTATCATTTCAATGTTTAATGCAATTTTCCGGTAATTTTTCCTTAAAATTCATCCTAAAAGGGGGGTGAACTTGTATGTGCCCAGAACTCGCAATATATATTAGACTGTCAGATTTGATATAAACAATACGCTTCAGCAATCTTATTTTTGTTGGAAAGCGTAGACCTAAAGATTCGAGCTCTGCGGTTATTAACGTTTTTGTATAAAGCTCTGTAGATACATTTATTTATTTATTACATCTTATACTCACAACAAAACTCTGAAAACTAAGTAACGAACTCCTACAAATTGTTGTAAAACACTTATTAATAAAATAGAAACAAAAATACCCGTTGTTTATTTTCGAGCCCTAAGTAATGGATATAATTATGGATACCAAAGTGGAAAAGTTGTATATGCATATAGGTATGTAAACGTAAGTTTGTCTGATTTGTACACTCTATTAACATATTTTTTCCAAGTAACTTACTAATATTTGTTCTATTTTTAGATTTGTTGTGAGTTTCAGATGTATTCTACTAAAACCTGTTTGCATGCTGTAGTTATACATTAACAGTAGATGTTAGAATCCGCACAAGTTCAAATTCTTCAAAACTGGTGTTCTAACATTATGCAGATTCCAGTTTTCTGTAGCTCTTTTATCGAATGGTGGCATGCACTCAATAGTTCAGTCAGCATAAGCTAAAAGTGCGAAAAGATGATATTCTCAGTGACATTAGAAGTGTTACTCCTAGAAAAAATTTCTTCAACTTGTTTTTTTGGTAACATAATTACTATATTTAAAGCATGCTGTGGAAACAATGTCAACGTTTTATTTTTGTTCTTGTTTCCCTTTGTTAAAATGTTATCTCTTAGTTTTTGTGTAGAAAGAAGTTTCTGAGAGCTCATTACTATAGATATTTTTAGTTGTTGCTTTTTCATTTACTAGTGTTAAGCATAACAAAATGCCTCGACATTATCACCATGTTAGCGACTTTGACAGGGGTTGACAGCGAAATTGGCGCCTTGTTAATTGTACTGCAATGACGGTAATCCGTGTGTGTCGTGTGTGGATAGAAGAAGGTAGAGGCACACGAAGAATGCCAACTGGTCCACCGAAGCGTACCACAGAGCGTCAAGATAGGCACTTCAGATAACTAGCCCTAGGAGACCGTCAGATCACTGACCAATGGTTTGGAGAAGAAGGTAGACCTGTTACTATGCGTACACTCTATCGCCGAATTCGAGCCTATAGAGTTTTTTCATACCGTCCACAGTTAGTGCTTCCTCTGACTGCGGACCACCGTCGTCAACGTTTGAACTGGAGCATAGAACGGCAACATTGGGAGGCATAATGTCAAGTGATGTATGCGTCTAGGCATCGACAAAATGAGATGGTTGATGTCTGGTTGTGGCACTTCATTCCAAGCAACTTCGTGGATTAGCTGTGGCAGAGTCTGTGGCGGATGGTGCAAAGTGGATCGTCTGCTCCCTAACATATCCCACACATGTTCGATGGGATTTAAATCCGGTTAACGGGGTGGCCACGGAAAAACGTTAACGCCTGCTTCTCGAAGAATGACGTATGGACATAACGCACTGCAGTCATATTGCCTTGAACAAAGAGAACGGGTGATCAACTACCATAGGCAATAACCTCCTAGCTCCAACAGTCCTGTGTACATGCCTTACTTAGGCAGAATCGCGATTCGTCGCTGAAGATAACCTTATACCTCCCAATGTTGATGTTCTCGTCTTCAATTCAAACGTTGACGACAGTGGTCCGCAATCAGAGGAAGCACTAACTGTGGACGGTATGGAAAAAGTCCAAAGGCTCGAATGCGGCGATAGAGTGCACGCATAGCCTACCTTGTTCTCCAAACCGTTGGTCAGTTCCTCTACCTTATTGTATCCACACACGACACATACGCATTACTGTCGTTGCAGTACAATTAACACGCCGGCCAATTTCGCTATAGGGCAAACCAACATCTCGATAGGACCTAATTCTACCCCTCCTGTCAAAGTCGCTAACATGGTGATAATTTAGACGTCTTCGAGCTAGAGGCATCTTGTTATGCTTAGCACTAGTAAATGAAAGGGCAATAACTAAACATATCTGTACTACTCAGCTCTCAGAACTGCTTACTTCACAAAAACTAAGGCCAGTATCGTCAGTCGTTCCTACAATTGTAGATCGCCTTTATGGCCTCCTTGATTGTCGTACTCCTGTCTCTCTTTCAAAAATTTCTAGATGGCACTTGTTCTGTGTCAGTGTCAGCGCTCTTCTATTATGAAGATATATTTTCTTTTTAAATAGTAGGAAATTTCAGGCTGATAAAACATGATAT